CCACAAAAATGTTTTAATTTTATTTTAAAATCAGAAAAAGGGGCTGGCAGGTGGCATGATGGTTGAGGATGCTGGACTCCCACATGGCCAACAACAGTTCAATTCCTGGACCTGGTGGCACTCTCTCTCTCTCTCTCTCTCTCCCTCTCTCCCTCTAGTCAAATTTAAATAAATTAAATTAAATTAAATAATTCTTTTTTTAAAAAATCAGAAAATAAAGTGAATATAGTAACAACAAATACAATAGTAACAAATCCAGCATAGTTTACATTTATGCCAATGCAGTCAAAAACTAAAATGTTTATGAAGGAAGATGACCCATAGCAGCAGAAGTGCCTAGGGCCTCTATGTAGAAAGAGCCTTTAGCACAGGATGCAGATCTGATATCAGGAGAAACTAGGCTGATAGGGTTGCTGAAGAGCCCCACTCTGGTGTCTCTGCTGTGCTTGGTCACTGGTGGGGAACAGCCCAGAGTGGTGTGACCTTGGTACAAAGGTGAGGCACCTGGGGACTTCAATTATGGTTCCTACAGCAAGTTCTCTTGAAGGAGATCTCAGAGGCCTACCTGCAGGGCCCCTACAGAAGTACTGGAAAAACAGTGTTATATTGGACTACTGGAAAAGTCATGATGCATTTTTACGTGGAAAAACAGAAAACATACATCGCAACTTTTCTGACAACCCAATAGCTCTACCCCACTTAGTGTCCCCACAGTATAACTTGCAAAACAATATATATAAAACTTGTAAGACATGTCACAAAAGGCAATAAAGGCTTCATCTCTGCCTCAGATGATGCTCACATGAGTTCTTAGAGACTAGAGTCATGTAACAGAAGCTAGCTGGTCACATGTGCTCCCTATTTCTAGAACATACTAATAGAGGCTGGCTGACCTTTAGGAGTATTTATTTATTTATTTATTTATTTATTGGAGAGATTTTCACTGTAGGGCACGTGCGCTTGCCAGACAGACAGAGAGAGACATAGAGACAGAAAGCGAGAAATCACCCCCCAGGGGGGATGGTCACGCCACAATCCCTTCTCCTCCATTCTCCTCTCGGGATCTTGGGCACGCACGCACACGCGCCCGGCGTGAGTTTTAAGCCACCGGGTCCGGGACATGAACCGCGGTCGACTACGTGGGAGTCCAGCGACATAGCCATTACGCTAACTGCTGGTTTTAGGAGTATTTTTAAAAGACATTCAATCTTGGGACAGGGAGGAGTGACTTTCTTCCTATGTATCAGAGATTCTTTGATGTTGCCCATTCTAACATTCTGATTCTTTCTTGAAAATCCCTCCCCAGATGTGGCAAAGCAGAGCCCATTAGCCGATTTCAGTCTGCAGATAATATGTTGCACACAGTTTTTAAAAAACATGGGAGGAGGAGGCCAGCAGTTGGTGTGGTGGTTAAGGATGCTGGACTCCCACATTACCGACCACAGTTCAAGTCCCGGACCTGATGGCTTGCTTTCTCACTTTCCGTCTCACTTGCTCTCTCTTGATCTGCCCCTCTCTGGTCAAATGAAAATAAATTAAATTAAATTAAGTTAAATTAAATTAAATAATTCTTTTTAAAAAATATGGTGGGAGTTGGTATGGGATAAATTACACTCCCTCTGAATGCACATGCTGAAGTTCTAACCCCCAATACTTCAAAATATGAACTTGTCTGGAAATAAGATCATTGCAGATATAATTAAAATGAGGTAATGCTGCAGTAGAGTGGATCCTAACCTAAACTAATGTGCCTGGGAAACTTAAAAAGGGAAACTCTGGACACAGAGAGACATGCACAATGGAAAACACCATGTAAAATGAAGGCAGAGATCTGAAAACCAAAGAATGCCCAAGGTTCTGAGCAAACCACTAAAACACAGGAGAGAGACAGAACGGGAGCTTGACTGACAGTCCTCAGAAGGAACAAATCCTACCGACATCTTGATCTTGGACATCTAGCCTCCAGAACTAAGAAACAATCCTTTTTTTTTTAAAGCCACCCAGTTTGTGGTACTTTGTTCCGGCAGCCTTAGCAAACTTATACAGGAAGCATCATTTTTAAAAATAGATAGATTCAGGGTCAGCAGATGGCATAGAGGTTACATCGCTGGACTCCCACATGCCCAACCGCAGTTCAAATCCTGGACCTGGTAGCTTGAAAATCATGCTGGGCACATATGCATGCATGCCCAAAATCTCAGGAGAATAGAGCAATAGGGATTGCAGTGTGGCCATCCCCCCAAGGGGTGATTTTTCATTTTCCCTCTCATTGTCTTTGCCTCTTTCTCTCTGGCATGCACACATGCCCTAAGCTAAAAATCTCTTTTTAAAAAATTAATAAATTTGCCATAAAAAACTGGATTTGAACTTTGGTGGGAAGAGTTTGCAACACGGTTGGAAATCAGAGCATCAGCTAGAAGGGAAGGCTGCTGGCTCAGTGAGGTCAGAGAACTCAGGCCCATGCAAGGGTCTGGGGTTCTTATCCCAGTTAGTTGTTGCTGCATGAGAGTATGGCCTCAGCTCTATCAGATTTCGGATCTTTCCAAAGAAGCTTGATTTCTATTTCCTGTTGCTAGGGAAATATGACTTAAAATACTGGCAACTAATTGATCACTCTCTGTTTTCTGCCTGAACTAATCCACTTTACTTACACACTTAATCCTGATGCTCCTCTGGGTGTCTAAGTTTGTGATCTCTGTTTTTTCAAAGTTGCACAGCTTGACAAGATGATAAATTATATCTAAACCAGAAAGATTATTCAGGGGGTTGAACAATTTGCCACGAGCAGAGAGCTTTGATCTGTCCTTGTGCTGGACCAGGCAGTGTGCTAGGCCAAAGTAAATGTCCAGTGCATGAACTCACATATTCTTCCTAATATTCTTATTGCTCTTTTACCTAGAGAAAGGGAAGTCTTATAAACCCGAAGCTATGCAATTAAAAACTAAGATATTAGACTATAATTTTTCTGAACTTGTAAATAGAAAGGGCATTCTGTTGAAGCTATATTGCAAAATTCTCTGTCACTGCTTAAACAAATTCATACAAAACTGCTAATAATAATAGCCATTCCCTTATATAAACAGACTGTAGGGCAAATATGGGTTCTGCCATCAGTACTGGCATTACTTTATTTTATTATAATGTTAGGCAATTATCCACTACCAGGCATATGCTGAGCACCTCACATACACAATCCCATTCAATACTACCATCAGCCCTGTGAGGGAAGTACAGTAGTCCCTCATTATCTGCTCTGTTGCTTTCTGTGGTTTCAGCTACTTGCAGTCAACTACAGTCTGGTATTTTGAGAGAGAGAGAAACCACATTTGTCTTTATTATAACTTTTATTACAGTATGCTATTAGAGTTGTTCTATTTCATTATTAGTTATTGTTGTTAATTTTGTACTGTACCTAATTTATAAATTAAACTTTATCATAGTACAGATGTATCAGAAAAAACATAGTATATATGAGAGGGTTTCGAAATATTCATGGGAAATGAGTATTAAGAAAAACTGCATTGATTTCCTTTTTTTTCACACCAAAATAAATTCAAACTTTAATTTCACTTTTCCACAAGCTCACGGAAGTGCCTTCATATAGACTCGATTCTATCTATAGTTTGAGGCATCCACTGTGGGTCTTAAATGTATCTTCTGTGGATAGGAGGGAAACTGACGTGTTTGATTCTCATTCTGCAGATTAGGAAATTGGGGCCTAGACAAATTCAGAAACTTGCTAAAGATCACAGGGCTAGAAGTGGAGCTAGATTCAAACTCAGGTCTCTTCAATATAGACTCTAAGCTCTTACTCTTCCTGCCACGCGATTTCTCTGTTTCACCCAGACACCCTCAAATGGAGGTCAGGCTCTGGGCCAGAGCCCACTAAAGTCTGCCAAAAGTAGCATCACTAGTCCAGCCTTCCCAATCTTAACCTTCAGAATTTAACCTCAATAAGAAATATTGATTGGTCTAGATGTTCTATTAATGATGTATAAATTGCCATCTAGGTTGAATTCAAAATTTGTGTTTCTCTCAAAAGATATGATGATATTTTGAATAAATTGTAAAGATGTGCAGGAGGGGCTTTCCATGCCCTTTTAAGGCTAGATGGCAGAGCCAGATGGTACCGCTGCAGTAAAACATGATGCTCTACAGGGCAGTATCACCTGGGAAAGTTTCTGGTTTAAGTCTGAAAACCTCCCTGCATGCACTGGGGAACGCACATGATCCCCTGGTCTGGGGCTGACTGAAGGCTGGAAGTGGACTGTGGTGTTGGAACCTTGTTGGGGGTGCTATCTCTCCTGCTCATGGAAGAAATAAACTTGGCGGCGGGGGTGGGGGGGATAGCTGGTATGGGGGCCAGGCAGTGGTGCAGTGGTAATGCAACTGGGCCTACATGGGAAAGGTCCTGGGTTCATGTTGAGACACTTGCCTAAGCATGTCTTGTGCACAAATGTGTATGCCTGTGATCCGGGCAAGTTGAAACTTGGGTAGATTATGGTGTGGGAACCCTATAGGGGGTGCTTGTCTTCTCTCTCTCTCTCTCTCTCTCTCTCTCTCTCGTGGAAGAAATAAATGCATAAAATTTTAAAGCAAAAAAGAAAATGATATACTTAATATCCTCTTAGGAGTCATGACTCAAGAAAACATGGGATGGGGTGGCTTCTAGACAAAAGCCCATTTTTTCCCAGTAGGTGTGTTCTTCTTGTGAAAATTCAAGAAATAACACACTGTATGCATATTTGACTTCAATTAAAAGTCAGGAAAATAAAAAGAATGGCTCTGATCCTATATTTAGCATTATATGATGAACTCCATGTACCTGTCTCCCATCTGCAATATTTATCCACTCATAGCCAAACTTCTTTCATGTATAACCCACCCACTTCTTCTTCATCACTGCCCCTGATTATTTTGAAGTAAATCCCAGAACTGCATCATTTTACTTGAAAACCCTCCAGCCTGTCTCACGCTGTGCTTTGTCTGTGATTTTTCAGGCCACTACATGTACGTGGACTCAGTGTACGTCAAGCACTTCCAGGAAGTGGCACAGCTCATCTCTCCCATGACCACAGCCCCCATGTCTGGCTGCCTGTCCTTTTATTACCAGCTCCAGCAGGGGAATGACAATGCCTTCTCCCTTTACACTCGGGATATGGCCGGCCTTTATGAGGAGATCTGGAAAACTAGCAATCCAGGGAATGCTGCCTGGAATCTTGCAGAAGTTGAATTCAATGCTCCTTACCCCATGGAGGTAGGTGGGCCCTGGCCTGGCTGCTTTGTGGGCATGCTACTCACACCCTAGCATTTAGATCCAGAGTCTCTGTACTCTAGCATTTAATTTTTGTTTTCTACAATGTCTCAATCTTAATCTTTTTTCTCTTCTTCGGCCCCCTCCTCTTCTCTCCCTCTGTGTCCCCTTCTGCCTTTCTCTCTTACCACTTTCATTATCTAGCAATATGTTTTAATAGGACAATATGGAAAAGTCAGTAACCAACTAGGTTTCTTGGTCATCATCTCTCTCTGAACCTCCTCTGTGATTATAGAGGGCCCCAAAGAAGAACTCAGAGCACTCTAAGTGAAACTTGCTCATTTATTTATTATTTAATCTTGTTATTGTTTAGGCTGACCAAGCAGGGGACTCAAATTGTAGTCAGCATATGGCTTCTAATCCTGGTCCAATAAGCTACCAACTGTGTCACAGAAACTGGACTGAAACCCTTGCCCTACCATTTCTGAAAACAGTTTTGAAGATTTCCCTTATTTGAGGGAATTGTCTTCCCAGAAAAAAAGGCACTTACTTCTCTCTTTGCAGCATAAATAATGTCATCAAATCAGAAATAAACTTACTATTATAACCCTACTTTGAAACAAGATTTGGTGCCTTTGTTTTAAAGCTTTTAGTTACCTAAGTGATAGATGTCCAAAGCCAAAAAGAGTTAGAAACTTCAGAAAAACAAAATAAATTAAAGCACCTAAGATCAACCCCACAAAGATGAGGACTAGTAACATTTTAGTGTTTATCCTTGTAGAACTTTTTCTAAGTACATATTAGGGAGCTTCAGAAGTTTTGTGGGTAATTAGAATTAAAGTATGAGATTTTTGGTGCAAAAAAATTTGAAATCCATGCATAGTTTTTCTTTTTTTCCATTTTTTTCTTTGTTTTAAGAGGTTTTTGCTATAGGGCACATGTACTCGCCAGAAACACAGAGAGAGACAGAGAGACAGAAAGCAAGAAATCACCCCCTAGGGGGGAATGGCCACTCCACAATCCCTTCTCCTCCACTCTCCTCTCAGGATCTTGGGCACACACGCACACATGCTCAGCATGAGTTTAAGCCACCTGAAACTTAAACCGTGTTTGACTACATGGGAGTCTAGTGACATAACCATTACACCAACTGCTAGTCCCATAGCTTTTCATAATAAACACTTTCCATGAACTTTTTGAAGATCCCGCATCTATTAAAACATTTCTATGTCTAAGTATGTATTTCAGAACTTACAAGTACTTTCAGTACTTACTCTCTAACAAAGCAGATAAAAGTATCTCCCTATTAACAGATGAGAAAGGAGAACACAGAGTGCCCAGAAGTTTGACTTTTTTCTAGGTCACACAGCTGGTGAATGCCAGAGAAGCTGGAAAACTTCCTGGCCTAAAATCTGACTCCCAAGATAAAGGAGGAGGCCCAGCTCTGTCTGAGGACCCCATAGGACCACACATTCAGTGGTGAAACATGATTGCTGTAAGATTATTATAAGGGTCTAGAGCTGTAAGTAGAATCTGAGTTACAAGTTTTAGTATTTCCTACTTTTCACTTTGCACTTTTTGTGATACCTTCCCCAGTTCCCTTTAAAATGCAAAAGAAGCTGACTCTTCTGGATGCCTTTCAGTGGTGCCATCTGCTAGCCTGATGGAGCGCTGCGAGAAGATTGGGGCTGGGCCTTGGTTTCTGACGTATTCTGTGTACCAGTCATGGCCTGCACCCACTTTCTTCCCCCTCCTTTCACTCCTTCCCACAAACCACCTCAGAGACAGCAGAGTGCTTTTTGCAGAATGTGTATGATTTCCTATCCCAAAGTCTGACTAGAATTTGGTGTATTCTTGCAACTCAATGGAAAATTTTCTGTGAGTTTGAATTACAAAATGGGAAAGAAATGCATGTACTGCTTCGACAGTTTTCCTTCCATCAAACTCAAGTGAGTCACATACACACCGACAGTGTTTTCTTTACCAGATCTTGTCACTGAACCATAAACTCCTTGGGCAACATTTGTATGAGTGAAACTTGGCTTAATTTTTTTAAGTCAATATTTAGAAAGTTATGATTGAAGTAACTTTTGAATCATAAAAGATGATTAGTATATATCCTTTGGATTCATGTAGTGTGATTTTGCTCTACTAATCTTTATATATTAGGTCACTGGGAAAGTCATGGCATATTTTTCTACACAAAAATGCATCATGACTTTCCTGATAACCCAATATAGACATAGATGGATAGATTTTTTTTAAGGTTTTTGCCATAGGGCATGTGAGCTCACTAGAGAGAGACAGAGATAGAGAATGGGAAAGTGAGAAATCACTTCCCAGGGGGATGGCCACATCACGGTCCTTTCTCCTCCATTGTCCTCTTGGGATTTGGGGCACACACGTACGCATGCCTGGTGTGATTTTCAAGCTGCCGGGTCTAGGACTGTAGCTGCAATGGGCCATGTGGGAATTCAGCACCTTAACCATCACACCATCTGCTAGCCCTACTAATCTTAATCTATTCACTAGTATTGATCTCACAAATTGTCAGGGAAAGAAATTTGTTGGACCAGCCTCATAGCTTAGTAGTTACAGGAGCTGAACCCCACATGACAGAACACAGTTCAAATCCTGGCTCCAGTGGCTTGAAAAACACCAGGTATGTGTGCATGTGCATGCACACTCAAAATCCTAACAGAATGGAGAAGTAGAAGAGAAGGGACTGTGGTGTGACCCAACCCCATTGCGAGATGCTTTCTCCTCATCGCTTTCTCTCTCTCTGCTTCTTTTAAAAAAGTATTTATTTTATTTTATTTATTTATTATTATTATTATTTGACCAGAGAAAGACAGAAAGTGAGAAAGCAACCGACCAGGTCCAGGACTCGAACCATGGTCTGCCATGTGGAAGTCCAGTACCTTAACCACCACACCACTGGCCAGCTCCTCTCTCTGCTTCTGTGAAAGTGTGTGTTCCCTCTGACAACTTTTTAAAAAAGACACAAAGAGAGAACAATTTAATTGAAAAGGGCAGAAAAAATTATCCAGACCACAGCCCCTGCCTGACACTAAATGAAAGCACTTTCTTAAATTTAGGCCCCTAGTGCATCACCTGCCCTCCTAAAGGATGGACTTCAGGCAGAAGAAAAATGATTCTAGGAGGGGAGGTCTGAAGATGTAAGAAGGAATGAATAACAAAGAGAGTGATAAATATAAAAACTGGTTGTATATAAAATAACTTTTAAAAAAAAGAAACAAATTTGTCCTGCAGCAATCAGTGAGTTTTATGCCATCAAATTCTTAAATCAATTTGATCTTCTTAAAATTTTTTTAATTTTAGGAAGGTATATGTGCTTGCCAGAGAGAGAAAGAGAGAAAGCACCCCCAATAGGGCATGTTCATGCTGCTGCAATCCTTTTTCCTCCATTTCTCCATCCTGTCAGAATTTGGGGCACACACATACATGCACCCAGCATGTTTTTCAAGATATCAGTGCTGTGTTATGTTTGTAAACTCAATTTGCCCTTTCTCATATACTCACATCTATTAATTTATTCACAACCCTTCCTTCCTTGCCAGAGACATATTTCCAAAGTTACTCTTGGATTTTTTATATAGCTTATTCATTTACTTCTTTCTGAGAAGCAGAGATAGAGAGAGACCCCAACAGGGTCTTCATGCTGCAGTGCACCCCAGCCTTGATTCCAGGATTCCTACAGACATAAACCCAGGAATTTTCCCATATGGGTCCAGCTGTGTTACTGTTGTACCACTGCAAGAACCCTCCTTAGGGATTTTGGAGAATTCAGGTACAATGTCCTTGTAGGACCATTGAACCTGAACTAGATCTCAAGAATCATCTCACCCAAACTTGAAGAAGAAGAAACAAGAAGAAGGAAGAAGGAGGAAGGAGAAGGAAAAGGAGAAGGGGAAGAAACTAGGCTTGGGATAGAGAAAAGGTCTACTCGATCTTATTAGTGGCTGAGTTTGAACATGAAAATGAGTACAACTAACTTCAGAGTCAGCCTGGAGAAAAAGACATAAAATTAGCTCAAAGCTTATTATGTACTTGACTCTGTGCTGGGACCTTTATATATGTAATCTCATTTAGTTTCCTCAATAGTTCTACAGGGTAGTAAGTATTATGCCTATTTTAGGGATAAGAAAGCAAAGCTCCCAAGAGATTTAGCAATGTACCCAAGGTTGCCTATCCAGTAAGTGATAAAAATGGGATTTGAACTCTGGTCTCTTTGCCTCCAAATCACTATTTCCTTCAGAAGAGGTTGCAAACTGGGAGCCTCTGAGTCAAATCTAGCCCATAGTTATTTATCTGGCCTCTATAGTAGGTTTCTTGTTTGTCTTTGTTTGTTTTACTTTCTGAATTAATTTCCAGCACTGAAAAATCCAAAGATTTAAAATAAAATCTAGAGACTCAGAACCCATTGATAATTTGCCAGAGTCAGAAACATCAGGCCTTCCATTTGTTTGCTTCAGCTGCCGTAGTAGAGAAAGTAGGGTAGTCAGGACATAAGGATCAAAGACGGAGGCACAATAGTCAAGCTTTTATTAGGAACTGCCTGCTCACAAAAAATAAATAAATAAATAAAAAATAAATAAATAAAGCTTGCAGCAGTGACCCAATGATTAACTTATGCAGAATGACCTAAAGCAATTTTGGCTTTTTCTATGTCTCCACTACATTCCAGAACTTAGATAATGGTTCTCAGGGCCCAAAGCTCTCAAACAAAAACTGGAGCAAATAATTGATCGCTAGGTAATGGTCTCTAAAACCTAAAGCTCTCAGACAAAGATCTGAACAATCATTTATTAAAATCATTTAGTTCTCTAAATGTACAGCATGACATACCTAACATGGAGCCGCGTGGGGACAAAACATGAACAAGTTCCTCCTAGCTAGGATAAAAACCTTTGACAAGAGCCCCAAGTCGGCAACCCACTGTTAGGGACCCTTTCCTACCTGGAAGCTTTCCTCTTTCAATAAATTTCACTTTGCTATCCCTTTTGTTCCTCCATATTCTAATTCTTCGTGAGTGTGAGGCAAAGAATAGAGTTCATTGCTGTTCCTACCTCAGGTATTAGGCCTAATCACCCCAATATCCCACGTCAGCAAGATTTGTTCCTTCTGAGGTCTATGGGAGAGAATTTGTTCTATATTTCTCTTCCACTTCTGGTGGTTTACTGGCAATCTTTGGCATTCCTTTGTTTATAGGTCTCTTTCTTCATTTTCACATGACATTCTGTCTGTGTGCTTATCTCCCTCTGGATCCACAATGTCCTTATTTATTTATTTTTTAGAGAGGTTTTTGTGATAGGTCGTGTGCACTCACCAGAGAGAAAGAAAGGGAGAAATCATCCCCCGGGGGGATGGCCACGCCACAATCCCTTCTCCTCCATTCTCCTCCCCAGATCCTGGGCATACATATACACGCACCCGGCATGAATTTAAGCCACTGGGTCTGAGACTCGAACCATGGTTGACTACATGGGAGTCTAGCGACATAGCCATTACACCAACCACTGGGCCCCACAATGTCCTTTTATAGAAGGACAACAGTCATTCAGATTACAGGCCCACCCTATTTTGCCATGACCTCACCTTAACTTTTATTTGCCAAATAAGGTCAGGTACTAAGGTATCGAAGGTTAGCATTTCAACTTCAGAATTTTAGGGGAAACAATTCAGTCTCAAACAGGCCTGCCTTCCCACACATCAGGAACTGATGAAGCTGAATAATAGTTGCCTCCAGATGGGGCTTGCCTTCTCCAGTTTCCAAGAGCCTAGGCCATGCCATGCCCACTTCATGCATTTACCGCACCTCACACTCTTAGCCATTTCCATTTTAAGGCCTACTCCATGCTGTGTCTTCTCAAGTTATCAGTACATACAGACCCAGGTGGTTTTCCCAACAAAGACGAAGACTATGATGATCACACCTGATCCCCATGGTCACAGGCAAAAGGTGCTATTTGAACTCAGTATTTAAGTAGATGGAAGGAAAGAGCAAACCTGAAGCCCTGTTCTTTCCAACCACTGGAGCTTCCCCGGACATGCTGGGGTCAGGATGATTGACTCTGACGATTGCACCTTTATCTAAACCTCAGGTAGCATTCCATTCAAGAAGGTATGAGGTCCTTTTAATCGTTTTGGAGTCTGAAAAATCTGAGATCAAGGTTCTTACGGATCTAATATCTGGTTTGGGCCTATTTCCTGTTTCATAGATGGTACCTTCTCTCTGTGTCCTCACATGGCAGAAGGGTGAACAAGCTCCATTGGTCCTTTTATATGGGCACTGATTCCATTCACACCTTCAAAACTTAATCACCTCCAGAAAGACCTCACCTCCCAATATCATCACCTGGTGGGGAGGGGTATAGGATTTCAAGACATGACTTTTTAGGAAGACACAAACATTTAGACCATCACAGTTTCATTCTTCCTCAAAGATATTGCCCAAACTCTATTTGGGAACATGATTCCATAAGTCCTTATAATTTGGCATCACCTGGCTTGAGTGACATGTCATTTTAAATCATAGTCAAGAGCATTTAAACTTAACAGAAAATACTAAAACATGTGACAACATGTCATTTTTCTCTGCAGGTTATTTTTGAAGTAGCTTTCAATGGTCCCAAAGGAGGTTATGTTGCCCTGGATGATATTTCTTTCTCTCCTGTTCACTGCCAAAATCAGACAGGTGAGCATTCTCTTTTTTTTTTTTCTTCCTCATATTTGGAATTTTGCTTTCTCAATAAATATTTTATTTCTCAATAAATGCCTATGATAAGGACCTGTTTTATTTATTTATTCATTTATTTTGAGAGATTTTCACTGTAGGGCACGTGCGCTCGCCAGACAGACAGAAAGCGAGAAATCACCCCCCAGGGGGGATGGTCACGCCGCAATCCCTTCTCCTCCATTCTCCTCTCGGGATCTTGGGCACGCACGCACACGCGCCCGGCGTGAGTTCTAAGCCACCGGGTCCGGGACACGAACCGCGGTCGACTACGTGGGAGTCTAGCGACATAGCCATTACGCTAACTGCTGGTTCCCAGGACTTGTTTTATTTTCTTTAGATTTCATTTTTACTCTTCTCTTTAAAAGTTAATTAATTGAATAGTCATTTTTTTCTGAAACATTACCCTTTATTTCCCATCACAGAGTGAATCTAATTTTTCTGACACAACAGGCTAGTTATTACTATCTTGAAGCATTTTTACTTTCACCACCTACTAAGAAAGAAAAATTAATTAATACTAACTTATTCCCATACCATATCTGGGTTTAAAGGATATCTGGGTTCCATCTTGAGTGGCCAGATAGGTGGAAAAAACTCTCACAATCTACTGATTAGAATTATGGAAACCTTTTCCAAATTTATGTATTTAAGATTTATAAATGTTCTTATGCTTAAAGATGGTATTATTTAGTAGGCATCTCTACAATGGTTATAGCTAAATGTTATGAGCTATTAATTTAATTACTTTCTAAGTGAACCCTCAAATTATTTTTACCATGGCCAGTTTTGTAATTTCATAAATTTGATGCTCAGTGAGGATATTTTTTACTTTCTGAGAAAACAGATAAGCAAATCAATCCAAAGATAATTAGAAAAACAAATATTTCAAATAAGAAGGATGACAGCATATTCATGATGACTCAAATAAATGCAACTGACCTTACTGTTAACTTGATTTATTTCCTTGAGGCACCCAGAGAGACCCCTATCTTATTCATGAAATTTCAGACAGAATTTTGGAACATGGAAAGATAATTTTTTGAATTTGGTCTTTTTGGTATTTCACTTAAGATACAGTTAGTGTCCAGTTGAATATGGTTCCAGATATATTCTACTAGTAAGGGTATCAAGAATGATAATATTTTCTACTCAAGTTCAATTGCTACTCCCAAATTATTGAGAAGTCTAATTTCCTGAAACTAAATATTATTATTTTATTAATTCTAATTAAGAATTAAAAAGGTAGTGAAACAGATAGAACTAGACTGGATTTACATATTTTAAATGATTTAATCCAAAAAAAGTAATCAAGCATTAAAAGAATCTATAATTTGACATGAACGCAGAAACCAAAATTATTTCATTTCTCTAAATTTGATTGCCCACTAATCACATCAATTAATATTTTAACTATGTTAACAGTAATTTCATTACCCTTTATCTTTATTTTCCAGAAAATTCCTCTTTCTACCACTAAGTATTTACATTGAACCATTATATTTCATATATTTATATCTATATATGGAAGAAGTATTTACTCAATATCTGCATTGGATAAAGGACAAAATAAAGAGAGTGCTGGGAGATACTAGAATCAACTGGGTCACTTTAGAAAATAATGTTTAAAAATGCTCTGCCTTTTAAAAAGATAAGAGTATGTCTGAGCTCTTCCATTCTATACTGGTATTCTGACTTCTGAAAAGAAAAAAGATTTCAACAAAACAAGGAATGTCTGTTAAGAAGGCTTGTGGCCCCTTGATCTGTAAAATACAGCCCACATAAAGACCCTGTCTCTGCAGGAACCTCCACAGATACACTTTTTCTGAGACATATTTGCTATAGGGCGCGTGCACTCGCCAGAAACACAGAGAGAAACAGGGAGACAGAAAGCCAGAAATCCCCCCCGCCCCCCGGGGGGGATAGCCATGCCGCAATCCCTTCTCCTCCATTCTCCTCTCAGGATCTTGGGCACATACACATACATGCCTGGCGTGAGTTTAAGCCACTGGGTTCGGGACTCAAACTGTAGTCAATTACATGGGAGTCCAGTGACATAGCCATTACACCAACTGCTGATTCCAGATACGCATTTTTATACATTTTTATACATTTTTATAGGTTAGTGAGGCTCCACATTGGTCTTCAGAACTTCCCACCATGCCAACTTGGTTTTTAAATGGTTTAAATACATCATAATAATGTTATACTCGAGAACTAGGAATTTGGGTTAACATTCCTATTCTGTCATTAACGAGCTGCATGACATTGGTCATGTTATTTAACCTTTCCGGGATCTCGTGTCATATTTATAGGGCAAAGATGGAAGCATCTGTTTCATAGTGTTGTCAAGAAGATTAATGAGTTCATGTCTGTGGAGGCTATAGTTTATAGAGTATGGCACACAGTAAATGCTTGGTCATGAGACAATATTATTTACTTTATTTTTAAAAATATATCCATCCATTCCCTGGAGAGTAAGAGGTCAGACTAAACTAAAGAGAACAGCAAAGATCACGGCCTGAATCACTGTGGCAGCTGGAGCCTGCTTATACCTTTCACTGAGCAGCTGTGGACCAGATTCTGAGTCTAGAGAAGCTGAGCCCAATAATTTTCATATTTGTCTTACATTTCACAAATAGTTTATGCCCTTCTGCTTCATAACAGGTGCCAACATTTTTTTCTTTATCTTGGTTAGCTCCAGACTTGCTGTCTCTGTCTTTCCTAGCTGGATCTAGCATTTTCTTCCCTCATCTCCCTAGCAGGCAGGCTGAGACAGGAATCATTTCAACATATGAAGTGTCTTGTTCCCACCATCTGGCTGGGCTCAACATTAATCTAGCCTCCCAGACCTGAGACCAATTACAGTCATAGACATTCAACACTAGTGTCATGTGGCTCCCCAAGGAACCCCCCAACATGGTCCAAAGGAGAGTGAGGTGCTCCCAAACTTTGAGTTACAAGACTTCCCTTTTCATGCCTTCCACCCACAGATTCCCCTTATACAACCACATTAGTCTAAGAGTCTGGATCATAGGAACAAGTTCTCTTTTTGGTCTGTAAATTCTTGAATACCTAACAGGCAATCTCATCCTTTTCTAGAAATTTTGCCGTAATGCCAACCCAAAACTGATAGCTCCACTGCTCTATCAGATGCAGGCTCAACCTTCTCTCTGGATGTGGGAGGGTGCTGACACTCATGAGGTCTTTTTTTTTTTTTTTTTCCCACATTATTTATTTATTTATTTATTGTATAGACTTTCAATCATATTGTTTGGCTTATTTCGATATGTGCACATTTCTCCCCAGACCCGTCGATCAAAATATCTTCAACAGATAACACCACACCTCCCCATCCCATCAATGCTCTATCTCTGTATCCCTTCTCCAAATGTCCTTCCTTAGGCCCCACTCATGAGTTTTCAAGAGGATGACTGCTGAATCCCAATGTTGGCCATTCACCAACCACAAACTGCTCAGGCCTCTTGTTTATTGAAAACCTAGCACCAATTGCTGCCTCGGTTACAACTGAGGTTTACACACCTTTCCTTATCTCGAATGCCCCCAGGGGTGTCTGCAGTTTAGTCAGTGGCCCAGCCCCTTGTTTCCTGGGTCTGTTAATGCACCAAAAGCAGCTAAAGCTGCCTCAGCCTATCTTTGGGTTAACTTATACTAAAACTATCCTGCAATTTTAACAGCTTATAGAACACACAGCACCTATTATCTATCTCTTTAGTCTTAGAGCAGCTGATGAGCAAACCTTTTACATTTATACAACTGATGCTACATTTGTTTCTATGGACTTCATGGAACAGAAGAAAAGATGAGAAATGCTCCCAACTATTCTTTTCAAACTGCAATGTACTCCATCTAGTTAGATTATAATAAAAACCCCTCATTTATAAAAAGCTCAAATGTCAGAATGCAAGTAAATTAACTAAACCTTACATTTTGATTTTTTTGGTAACTTGCTTATAGGGGCTTTATTTGATTTGTTTTCCTGTGATCATAAACAGATGCTCAAGTGCTTTCAACTGCCTCTGATTCCTCCCTACTCTTTAAATCAACACTCACCAGTAGGTCAATCTGTGATGACCACTTGACCCACATGTCTGAAACCTTGAAGTAAGGATTCTACATCCTCCCCAGATCTCTAGAGAGCTTACTGTAGGTCACAAATATGTCCCATGGCCCATCTTCAGGAATCAGAAATTGTCTCCAAGTAGAGGTAACATTTTAAGTAAAAAAGATTGAGCCTTTGAGTTAGACTTTCAAAATTTTCTTTTTAGTAAACCTTTTCAGAACCCCAGAGAAATCCATTTCTAAGACTAGGCATTTAGCAAAAGAATATATATACACACACACAAAAATCATTTTGTGTGACTTGCTCTCTCACCAGAGAAAGATAAGTGATCTCTACCTACTTTCAAATTTTGTATGTTTTTAAAAGTAAACTTTATATTTTAGCAAAGTTTTAGGTTCACAGCAAAATAAAGATTAAGGTACAGAGATTTCCCATATACTCCTGGCCCCCAAACGTATCACTATTACCCAGAATCCAGCTTAAGTAAAGGTTCATTCTTGGTGTTGGGCATTCTATGGATTTGGACCAATGTGTACTGTAACAACACGAATGCACCACTGTAGTATCATACAGAATAGTTTCACTGCCCTAAAACCCTAGAAGTGTTCTACTCACTCATTCCTCCCTACCCCTAACCTGTGGCAAACCTCTGATCCTTTTATTGTCTCCATAGGGTTGCCTTTTCGAGACTCTCATGTAGTTGGAGTCATACAATATGTAGCCTTTTCTGGTTGACTTTCTTCACTTATTAATATGCATTAAGTTTCTTCCATGTCTTTTAATGGCTTCATAGCTTCCTTTTTTTTAGTGTTGAATAATATTCTATTATCTGGATGTACCATAGTTGATGTATCCATTCTCCTACTGAAGGAAATCTTGTTTACTTCTAAATTTTGGTCATTTTGAATTAAACTGCTACAAACTTTCAAGTTTTAATATCACTTCCTACCCTCTCCCTGCACACCTAAAATACAAGATGGTCTTGCAGCCATCCCAGGATGCTCTTTTTTCTTTTTCCTTTTTTTTTTTTTTTTTTGGAGGGGTTTTTGCTATAGGGGGCCTGCATTCGCCTTTTGCTATAGGGTGCATGCACTCGCCAGACAGAGAGAGATAGAGACAGAAAGCGAGAAATCACCTCCCAGGGGAGAAAGCCATGCCCGCAATCCCTTCTCCTCCATTCTCCTCCTGAGATCTTGGGCACACACGCACATGTGCCCAGCGTGAGTTTTAAGCCACCGGGTCCAGGACGCGAACCATGGTAGACTACATGGGAGTCCAGTGACATAGCCATTACACTAACTGCTGGTCCCTAGGGTGCTCTTTTGAGACCCACTTCTTAGAACTGATTTCACTGACCCACTGTTTTATTTCTGTATGGCATTTGGGACTGTCATGCCATTTCCTGAGCCAGATCGCCATCCGCAGATTTTAGCCTTTAATCTGATTTTTTTTGGGGGGTGGGGGGTGGGGCAAGATTGTATGGTCCATTACCAGGCAGCAGAGGAATAACTAATACTGAAAACCATAATGGGCTTTCCAGTGGTCTCATACCTCCATGAGAGAATGTCAAAGACTCTTTGCTTGTATGACATCATGTTCATATTTCACAGACTTTATCTTAGGTCTTAAAAATATACCCTGGTGCTGACAGAGACAGGCAGAGCAGGGTGTGGGCTAATCCACCGATCTTAGAGCAATGAGAATTCTCTTTATTTCCTTTTCTCTTATCTGGCTCCTCAGGGTTTGCTCCTGATGTTCTTCCTGTAGTTTATCGCCTGAGATACAATCTTGTTCCAGTGATTCAAGAACATTTTTGTTGTTGCTGTTAGTCACTTATTTTTTTTTTAATTTAGTATTTTAAGACTATCTTTGTATTATTTCACATTCATACAAAATTTGCAAGAATACTATGAAGTATTTCCACATACTCTTCACCCAGATCTATAAATTATTTACATTTTGCCACATTTACTTTATGAACCATTTAAGAATAGGTTGCAAGCATTTACCTCTAAATACTATTTCGGTGTGTATTTTCTAAGATTAAAAACATCCTCCAACATAACTACTGGATAATTAAGTTCAAGAAAGTCAATACTTACATGATATTACCAACTAAACCTGAAGTCCATACACAATTCCTCTAAATGCCCCAATAATGTCCTGGCTAGGTATATGTTTTTCTGGACCAAGACTGAATCTTGGATCCCTTGTAGCATTTGGTTGTCTTGACTCTTTCATTCCCTTTGATCTGGGTCAGTTCCTCATCTCACTTTAGTGTTTTCTTGCTTTGAAAATGGGTAAATTAAGACTATAGTGAGTCTTTGTCCCTAAACAACTCTTTGTTTCATTGAATTAGAATTCTCTGTTTTCATCATATCACAAGTCAAATATTATACTAGAGATGATTTTCCAGTTATTCAAAACAACATCTTTTCCCCCAGTGCTAGAATGCTAGCCCAATGAGTGTTGACATGCAGACCAGGATCACACTTGGCACACATGCTCTGGACTTGGAGGGCACTGTGAACATTGAGGTTTCCAGGTCACTTGTTAATAGGACTTAAAGTTATTCCCAAAAGGGATAAAAAACAAACAAACAAACAAAAAAAAAACATTATTTTATTCATGATAGAGAGCCCATGTGTGTACATAAACACAAGACAGAAAAGAAGAGAGAGAAGTATCCTCTATATGGTCTCATTACACAGCAATGCCCAGTGTGTTTTCAGACCAACAGAAGGATCCAACCAATAGTTGGCACTGCAATTCAGTTCGCTACTGCACCACAGGGAATGGGCCAGAAGAAATTTTTTATGTTCCATTCCACCCAGGCCATCTGAGCTGAGGTGATATTTATAGACCAGAATAAATAATACCAGAACTTAGCCAAGCCACGATGATAGCAGTATCTGTGATAATAACTGGTGTGACTTTTTGAACGGCATGATTCATACTGAGTGATAATTTTCTTATAGCAGATCTGCTCCTACTACTGATGTCAATTATAAATAGACAGCAGTTGTTTCTAAAATATATGTCATAGAGAGAAATTAATAGTCCCTGAAATCCTTTCTTTTAAATTTTGTTACAAAAAAATTTTGAATTGTGAAGTATATGAATAAATGCTCACGGTCTTTACATCATAAAAGAAAATTTCTTTTGAAGTCTGGCGCTTTATTTTTATAAAGTCTCCCTTTAATGAGGAAAAGAACAATTTTCCTAGCATGGTGCAAACATTGGTTCATGCCATTTGAGTAAAAATATTTTGTTGTGTTTTACTTCTTTGATCTCCTCTGGCACAAAAGTATACTTATTTGTCAACCAATTAATGTAGTCCTTTAAGATCCTTGGATTTGATTATCTTTAACTTTGGTTCTCTTTTGTTCAGAAATTCCTTTTAGTGCTGTGGAAGCAAGCTGCAATTTTGAGAAAGATTTCTGCAACTTTTACCAAGATAAAGAAGGTCCGGGCTGGGCACGAGTGAAAGTAAAACCAAACATGTACCGGGCTGGAGACCACACTACAGGCTTAGGTAAATGAAGTATCTGTCCATAGGGGGATGTCTCAGGGCAGAATTCGTGCTTCACTAGCCATTCTTACACTGTACATACAAAGCCAACAGCCTAAAAATAAAGTTAGCTATGAAGAAGCAAAGACATTTTTTAAATTAGAATTCATGTTGTTGTGACGGTGAAACTACTTGCCAATTAATTAAATAGCCAAACTTTTGGAAATTATTTTGCTCTTCGGTTTAGATAAAATACCTTTAAAAAAACTACTGGATTTCACTTACATGAGATCTCCAGAACAGACAAATCCATAGAGACAGAGAACAGATTAGTAGTCGGCAGGGGCTAGGCCAGGGGAAATGGACAATAACTGTTTAATGAGCACGAGGTTTCCTTTTGCAGTGATGAGAATGTTCTGCAACTAGATAGTGGTGATGGCTGCAGAGCACTGTGAATGTAATAAATGCCACTTAGTTGCACACTTTAAACGTAAACTTCATGTTATGTATATTTCGTTACAATAAAAATATATTGTGGTCCAGCTGTGGTGGTACAGGCAGTAGGGCTCTGCTGCATGAAACTAGAGCCACATGTGAAGGCCTGCGGTTCAGATCCTAGGTCAACCTGAACACACACTGGTGGATACACCATGATACTAATTGGCTTGAGGGCTGGGGAGGATGGCAGCATGAACAAACCCTGTCAGGCATTTCTCTCTCACACACACAAAGGAAATAAATAAACTTTAATATATATTAAATTCTATGTAGTTGGAAGGAAAGGCTATTGGAAAATGTGGAATGGGCATTTGATGAATGTAAAAGCTAGAATATAAAAACTCCTAGAAGCTGGAGTTTGAATGTTCCTTGTATAGGGATTACCTATTACTTTAATGAAAAAGCTTTGTGGAGCCACCCCAGCAGAGACTAGTAGGAACAGGGATTTAGTGTCTCATTCACTAATTTTTAAGATTTATTTATTTAATTGTATTTAATTACTATTATTTTTAAATTTGCTATAGGGTACATGTGCTCACCAGAGAAAGACAGAGAGAGGGGTTGGAGGAGTGAGAAAGCAAGCCACCTGGTTGGGATTCAAACTGCAGTAGGCTATATGGAAGTCCAGTGTCTTAACCACCATGCCACCTGCTAGCCCCTTATTTACTATTGAACAAGTATTTATGTACTGTGTGCCAGGGTAAATTTACCATGAAGCTGATGAAGCTTGCATTCTGAGCCCCCTCACTTGCAGAGGCCCTGGAAAAAGCCTTGAAATTGGCTGTTGCAATTTTGTGCTTGTAGTTTTATGTAAGAGGACTTCAAAACATTTGTAGAAAAATAAAATTGGGCCCAAGATGAGAAGACTTGCTTGAGGCAAACTTTCGTAACACTAAACATAACAGACTTTATAGTCCCAAACATCTGTTACCAAATGTATGTGGAGGATTTGTACAAGGATGGCACTGAAAAATAAAAATAAAATTTGCATTTATAAATAAAATGTATAAAATTATATATCTTATAATTTTTTTAAAGAAAGAAAAATATAATTAAAGCAAGAGCTTATTTTGGTGTAAAAGAATGTGAAATTCATGTAGAGTTTTCATAATACATGTTTTCCATGAACTTTTTGAAGACTCCACATATTTTTTTTTCTTAGAGGTTGCCTGACTTGTGGAAATACAAGCTATCTAAAACCTATTCTGATTTTGGTCATACTAGCTCCTGGAGTACAGTAAAAAAAATCAGATATGAATCTCATCCTCACTGGCCGACAAGCATTTCATTGAGCAAAAGAAATGTTAGACCAATATATACACAAATAAACTTGTAATTACAAATTGTGGTAAGTGCTGTCAGGGAAGAAAAATGTTTCCCCTATCCTTTTAGGTTCTACAGCTGGGCCTGATAATTGAACTGACATAAGACAGATTACTGGGAGGAAAAAATACAATTTTACTTAATATTTTTACATGTACATGAGAAACTTTATTGAAAGACTGAAGACCCAAAGAAGTAAATAGGCCTGAGAGCTTATATGCCATTTTTAACAATAAACGATAAATTCTGGAGAAGTGACAAGACAAAAGAGAAGGGTTTAATATTCATGGGGTGGCATATCGTGAAAAAATAACTAAGAAATATAGGAACGATATGAAAGATAAAGGTTATTGTATTGTAGTAAGTTTGTTTGTATGGACCTATTTTGGTGTCAACTCCACGTCTCCAGTAATAAAAATGTTCTTCCTTTCCTAATAGAGGAGAGCACCTTGTTCATGGGAAATTTCATGATTTGCTTTTAGGTAGAAAGGGGAAGGTCAGAGACTCCCTTCTGTATCTGCTATTTCTCAAATGCCTTCAGCTCAAAATAAACACTAAGCCAAAGTGGCCTATTTGGAGTGTCATGTTCTGATCCCTTTCGTTGCTATGAAGGAAATGAAGACCAGTTTTTTTGAGAAAATAGAGAGAAGAACCTAATTTTTGGTTGAGGACTCAGGGACTGTTTCTTTGAGGGAAGCTACAGTTAGCAGAGAGGGTGGAAATCATCCAGGCAGACAGAAGAGTATCTGTGAAGACCTTAAGTTTGGAAAGAGCTGGTCACACCAAGGATCAGGAAGGTCAGTATGGTTGTACCATGGAGAGGAAAAGTGGGGAGAATAGAGGAAAAGGAAGTTAGAAAGGAAACAGATTATGGGTATGGAAGGCCAGAGAAAACATCTGGGAATTTCTTATAAAATAAATCAGAAGGCATTGAAAGGTTTTAAACACAGAGAGAGGGATTAAATTTAGGCTTCAGAAATGTTGTTCTGGCTGTTGTATGGCCCTTTTTATTAATCATCTAGGGCTGACAAAACAAAATGCCATACACTGGTTGGCTTAAACAACAGAAATTTATTTCTTCACAGTTATGGAGTCTGGAAGTCCAAGATCAAGGTACCATCAGGGTTGGTTTCCGAGAAAGCCTCTCTTCCTGCTGTTAGACAGCAGTCTTCTCATTGTGTGCCCACATAGCCTTATTGTATACAGAGAGAGCGAGCTCTGGTGTATCTTCTTATTATAAAAATTAGTTAAATAATGGGGTAAAACTAAACCATATAACAATTATGAGGATGAGGTGACCAAAAGAAGATGGATAGCAGAAGGTAGGGAGGAGCCATCTGATTGAAAACTTGATCTTCGGGACCAGCAGATGGCATGAAAATTACGTTGCTGGACTCCCATGAACTTGACTGCGGTTCAGGTCCAGGACCTGGGATCTTAAAACTCACGCCAGGTCTATGTGCGTGCATGCCCAAAATCCTGAGAGGAGAATGGGAGGAGAAGGAATTGTGGCCATCCTCGTTAGGGGGTGATTTCTCACTTTCTGTTTCTCTATCTCTCTGGTAAGCTCATATGCTCTATAGCAAAAAATTTCTCTAAAGAAAAGAAAGGAAGGAAGGAAGGAAGGAAGGAAGGAAAGCAGGCAGGCAGACAGACTGACCTTCAAGGGTGGCTTTAATATATGACCAAAAGAGTAGTAGGCTCTGCCCAGACACAAACCCCCACAAAGCCTGCCAAGCCAGCCTGTAATCCCTCCTTCCCTACTAGATATTATAGAAATAAGAAGGAAAAATTTGCACTGGCCATGCATTCACTGTGATACTGTGATCCAGTACTTTGTGTGCAAACTAAGCCAGCCAGTTGACTAGGCAGCTGGTAGTCCCAAGATGATTTCAGTCTTTTTTGTTCCATTAAAATAATAAATCATAATTGATGACTAGCATTTGAGTATATGCAGTAGGAAATATAAATTGGCTTACTTAGAATAGAAAGACATATTATTTTTAATAGAGACACATTTCAATAACTTAAACCACAGACATTGCTTTCTATTATTTAAAGCCTATGGAAATAGCCTTGGCTAGCAACTTCCTCTACTTTAACCAAATATTTCCACTGATAATCTAGGTTAGATTATTGTGCATTGCTAACACACTGAATGCTTTGTCTTGTTCACAGGGTATTATTTATTGGCCAACACAAAATTTACATCTCAGCCTGGCTACATTGGAAGACTCTATGGTCCCTCCCTACCAGGAAATTTGCAATATTGTCTGCGTTTCCATTATGCAATCTATGGGTTTCTAAAAATGAGTGACACTCTAGCAGTTTATATCTTTGAAGAGAACCACGTGGTTCAAGAGAAAATCTGGTCTGTGCTGGAGTCCCCAAGGGGTGTTTGGATGCAAGCTGAAATCACCTTTAAGAAGCCCATGCCTACCAAGGTACAGTACACAAGCACTTTTTTCTTTTCCATTATCCGTTGCTGGGCTGGATTAGTGAATTTCTGTTTAGTTAATGAAAACTGGCAATATGTTATTTTCCTTTCCTTCAGGCTGATAACCCAATTCTACACCCTACCCTTCAGACACATGCAAGTTAGTCCTTCAGTTGTTTTGCATTTTCTGGGTCTCTGAATCACAGCTACCTAGAAAGTTTGCTGGTTGTTTATTTATTTACTCCTGACAGAGAGAGAGAGAGAACTCTCCTTCCCCTTCATACCATAATCCACTCACAGTCTCAACCAGCCAGGATCATGGACATTCACGCATGCCCCGTGTGTACAAGGATGTCTTTATGCTTCCAGCATTGATTACCACTGAGCCACAATCTAGCCTCTATTGTTCATCCTTTAAGATTCCCTGAAAATGACCCAAAGACTTGAGAGTACATGAATAGTACAAGTTGAACAGCTAAACTTAAGTTTGAAACCATAATAGTGTCTCTCTCTTTCTCTCTCTCTCTCACACACACACACACAAGCACACAGAGCAATGGGAATGTTTGGTGAAATCAGTGGCGTTGGTTCTACATTGCGGCTTTATGATCAACAACCTAAGCCTCTTGGTAAACACAGAATGAGAAAATCAATTTAAAAATATGGAGCCAGGGTTAGCACAGTGGCACAGGGGTAACATGCTGGCCAAATTATCCTAGATCTATATGGAAGACCATAGGTTCAGTTCCACAGTTGACCTGTACACATTGGGTATGCCTACCCATGATCCTTACTGACTGGGAAGGCTGAGAAGAAGGTGATCATAGTGTGATACCCTGATGGGGGTACTTATCTGTCTATCTGTCTCTCCGCTCATGAAAAAATTTAATTATTAATTAAATATATATATATATATATATATGGGATCAGCAATTGATGTAATGGCTATGTTGCTGGACTCCCATGCAGTCAACTGCAGTTCGAGTCACACCGGG